AAAAAAAAAAAAAAAAAAAAAAAAGAACCTTACTCTTGGCTTCATCCGCGTTCTCAGCTGCTTTGAACTTCTCCTCAACAAATCTTGCATACTCTTGCAGACTTTGTTCTGCTTTAATCAGTTGGTCATTCTCCAGCAGAAGCTCGAGCCGCCCTGCCGAACTCCACACGATGTAAAAGACCAGCGCAGAGACAAGCACGATTATGACAAACGCCTTGATTGGACCCCAAGGAACCGGATGCGGGCCGTTGACGTGTTCACACTTCATTGTGTAGTTCCGATTGCCCAATTGGAACTCCTGACCACGCAGTTGTTGTCCTGTACTTGGCTTGTAATCTGCGGGTCTAGCGAAACTCTTCGGCGGTTTGTGAACAGCCACCAGGAAAGACGACTCAGGCATCAAATCGTAAACCCAACTGCGAACATCTGGCTCATTCGTCAGCCTCGACAACCACTCTTCAAACATCGATCCGATCACCATTCTCGCTGAGATAAACCCAGTGATGGTGGCGTCCCCGAAATGCACCAGAACATGGGCAGCACTCCAAACCATTTGTGCATTGCCGTAGTTGTTCGGTCTCCCCAGCGTAAGTTGACCTGGGTTGAGATGTCTGATGGACTCTGCAATGTCTGCATACATTGACAGCACAATTTCAGTCACAAGGTACTCAAGTAACTCAACATGTTTGGCTGGCTTTATATTTTTTTTTCTTAAATTGCGTTTTATTTTGTCCCCAAGACCATTTACAATTGCAATACCATTTTCAGGGCAGCCTCACACTGGCACTTTCGAAAATGCATCTGACTGTAATTATGGCTAGACCTGGATGAAACTGACTGGAAACACGTCGACAGCTCGTGGAAGACGTCCTAGTGCGTGTACACCCTCACTGCCCCTCCATACATTGTCTAAATAACAAGGGAAAACTTTTGAAATGCCCCTCCGACTTCCATTTATTTGCAGTATGCCCCTCTGACGGCCGACTTACCCTGTCATGCCCCTCTGACAACGATTGAAGTTTCCGGAAAAGAAAACCGGCGCCGTTTGGGCCTGAAATATGTTCAATATTCCCCTACCGGTACCGGTTCCAGATTTCCAGTATGCCCCAGTAGCTCCCCTCCCCCCCCATCTGGCCCCGAAAGCATAAGTTCGCAGTTGTCCCTCCTGCGGCAGAGCACCGACACGTGAGGGTTCTCTTCATCGCAATTTCTTTCGCTCGGAAAGTCAAACCCTTTGCAGACGACWTAGACAGGGAACGGGGTGTTGTAAGCAGTAGAGTGGCCTTGTCGTCACGATCTGTTGAGATTCAGAGGGCCAGGGGAACGGCTGTGAGTGCCACCAATGGCCACAGGGGTATGCTGGAAAGTTGCACCCCTCACTGACAGGGGCCTGCAGGAAACTTCAGAGGCCCCAGGGGCACGACAGGGTAAGTCGGCTGTCGGAGAGGCAAACCGCAAATAAATGGAAGTTGGAGGGGCATTTTGAAAATTTGCCCAGATAACAAATACAGAAGATTTCGAGTCATGAAGGCTGTACACGAGGCATTACTTATCGCCCAGCACGTAAAACGCATACACATCAGATGGGCAAAAGTGACCATGCAACACCCGTCTCACCTCATTCTGCTAGGAAGAGTTTTTCAAACTTCTTTTTTCTCTTATATATGTGGTTCTTGTTCGTGTCTGACTTGTGGCTTGACATAATAGACTTGAGAAAGTTCGGAGAATCTGGTCTCTTCTCTTTTGCTACACTGCATGCTTGACTACCTATTATTCTTTTTTGTACTTCAGATTATCCGCTTCCTTCCGTCTGGCCGAAGGACACTGGAGGATTGACTGTCAGCATTGAACTGGAGAAAGTTCGAAGAACAACACATGCTTCCTTCCGTCTGGCCGAAGGACCCCTGAACAGCATTGATTACTGGAGAAAGTTCGAAGAACAACACACGCTTCGAAGGACCCCTGAACAGCATTGATTACTCCAGACCTCTGGAGGATTGACTGTCAGCTTGCCATGTTTCATTCTTCCCTCTCAGATCAAATCCCAGATCTGCCAGATCTATCCCTATCAACAAGAAAGAACTACTCCACTAATCTTTTTTTTTTTTTTTTTTTTTTTTTCGTTTTTCCTGGATTATCTTTCCAACGTTACAGACAAAACCTCCTATTGACCCTCTAACAGCGTAAGCCCTTCTTACAGAATTATAGAACCCTAAACCCTTAAGCCGTTTCCAGCTAACTTAATTCCCTTTTTTTTAAAAACAAACACCTTAAACCTTAAACCCCTTCTATTGACTGCCTTTCAACCCCCCTTCTCCATTTAAATACACGGTTAGTTCCCTGCATGGTTGCAACCGCTCCTTGCCCCAGGACCTTGGTATTGAATTTCTTCCTAATTTCCTCCTCCTGCCCCGGATTTTGCAGAATTTGGGCCCTGACCCTCTTCCATTGCGGACGTAAGTCTGTTTCAAGTAATGTCAAGAATATCTCCCGTGCCTCCTGTATGTGCATTGTACTTCCGTCAATAGTAATTCGACATCTCTTCTTCCAAATAGTCCACAGGCTATATTGACATATCAACTGGAACATAAGCTTCTCGAACGACAGCCACTGCCTCGGGATTTGGATCCCCAACAAAAGGGAAATTTTAGTACCTAAGGACCTTCGAGATCTGACCCCAGATACACCTGGCCTCATCCCAAATGATGACTTCTCCCATACATTCCAACATACAATGCTGCATTGATTCTGACATGCCGCCCTGACACACTCTACACACCGCATTCGCTGGGTCCCTCCTTGTCAGACTCCTTTTTCTCATTTAACCATTCATTCACCGGCAGAGCCACATGGGCTATTAGCCACTGCATGCTTCTGACTTTTCCCAAGCGGACCGCATTAATCGCCGGCCAAGGAAACTTGGACAGTTGTCCCGGTGGAATCCCCACCCTCTTTTCCCACCGCTTCAATAGTTGAGGCGTAAGAGAAAAGGATCTTCTTCTCAACCTATATCCGATCCGAGTGGTATAATGCAGAATATTAATTCTCCTTTCTGATCCCGCAGTGCCACTTCTGATCCTCCATGCCCATTCCCCAGGGTCGACTTCCAAATCTTCCACCGGAGTAGTTGGACAGAAAACTGTGAATTCGTCTGTCCCAACTACTCTTACCTTACGCAATTGACTTTTGAGAATGGTTATAGGCACTTTGGAGTTCTTCTCAAGTAAAGAGGTGGTGCTCCCTTGATGCATTATGGTATATTTGTCTGCCTGAAGCCATTCCGGCCTTGCAGGCTCCTGATCCCATATCCTGAAAACTTCTCCTGGAGCATTGTCATCTTCCCATGTGGCCCAGTCCCCTAGCCCCCACCGTGATTCCTTTCTCAGAAGATCCCCCCACCTTTGTGGAATGGCTCTTAGGACTATTCTAAATTTTCCGACAGCCTGTGACAACCCCTTAGGGACCCCCTTGGCTCTTTAGCTGTTTTCCACCTATTTTCCGAGCCTTCCCACAGGTGTTTAACCTGCCAGACCCCATGCTCTAGACACTTACCCCATTTCGTGTCTTTAATTAAAAGGGTCAGTGGTTTTCCCTGCGCATCCCTAATACTTGAGTTACAAAATAATGACTGTCTAAAAACTTCTTCTCTTGTGCGAGGCTCGCTGACACTTGCCGGGAAGGTTTCCTTCCAGAGTTTCATTAGTTGACCCCAATATGATGCCTTCCTTACTACCTCCTCATTACCACCCCTGTCATTAACTTCCCTAACCCCTTTCGCCCATGTGGTACACATGACCCAGAACTGGCCCGACATATTCGGTGGGGTTCTATACTTAGCCAATTTCCTAATCTGATAGAGCGCTAGGGACATCCAAGGCAAGTTATGCTGGGCGATCAACTTAATTACCCATTTGGTCTGGAGTGCTTTAAGTTGGTGATCTGGGTCTAAAATCCCCAGTCCTCCCTGCTGCTTCGGTCTGGTAACATGCTTCCACGCCACCTTAGAAATGAAGTGTACAGACATTGCATTAGATGTCCATAAGTACGCCGCTGCCCTTCTTCTCAGCAATGATAACGTAGTATTTGGCGGGGTCCAAATTGACCGTGCATACCAGATCATAGAAAAGATAGATGCAGTTAATATGAGTGCCCTCCCGAATAGCCCCCAGCTTACCCAGGATCTTGGACATTAGATCTGCTGCCTTGGAGTGATGTGTACCTGCTTCTGTAATCTTCACGCCTAGATATCTAATCGGGGCCTGCGGAGACGTCCATTGTAGACCTTCCGGGCATTCAACCGGGAGTTGCCATTCTTTTGCCCTTGCTCACCCAACCACCAACCCTCCGTTTTCTGCCAGTTTATTTTCATTTCTGACACCAATTGAAAAGCCTCCATTGCCCTTGTTAGTGCTTGAAATGATGAGTCTGATGCCCTAATGAGCACTGTTAGATCATCAGCAAACAAAAGGGTTGTGGGAAGCTGAACTGAGTGTCCCTGTTGATCCGGTTCCACCACTAACCTTTGAATTGAAGGATCCTTCGGTAAGAAGGAAGCAACGGCCTCCATTATGAACAGGAAGATCGGCGCCGCTAACGGGTCACCTTGCCTAACTGATCTCGACATTCTATAGGTTGCTGACAAATGACCATTAACTTGCACTTGGCCCTGCGCATTGTTATATAAAACCCTTATCCATTTCCTAAAATTCGGACCTACCCCCATCTTTTCCATGCATTGCTGCAGAAAGGGCCAGCTGACCTAGTCATAAGACTTCTCAAAGTCGAAGAACAGTATTGCAGCATTAATACGTTTATCTCTTATACACCTCGCTGTCTCAGCCAGAGTCATGACTTTGTCTAAGATGAACCTTCCCGGTAATCTTGTCTGGTCCAAATGAAAACGACTCCCTGTGAGAGGAGTGAGTTTGTTTACTAATGCTTTGGCTACTATCTTATGCGTGAGTGTTAGCAACGTAATTGGCCTATAATTCCGAATGTCCGAAGGGATCCCTTTCTTGTATAATAACGTCACTACTCCTGTTGCCGGTGTCGAGGCAAATACCCTGACAAGGGTATTTGCCAGGGATTTTAAGCGTCGGACATAGTCCGGCGCTTTTGTTGAATTGAAGGACTTGATGAGACTGACGTGCCAAAAGTTTATTCAGACCTGACCTATGACTGAGAGACTAAAAATTTTACAACCCTAGTCCGGACGCCTGCGACGTCCGAGAGTAATGGCAGTACCCGGCAGTGCTTCGCTATTGTTGAGGCTGTAGGGGATGTGGGAATGTTACGGCTAGACTTATCCTACCTAAAATCATGTAGCAGCCGCGCGATTCAGGGCCTAAGTAGGCTAAAAAGGGGAATGCGCAGGGTATGGGGCCACGACGCGGGAGGAATAGGAAGATTCAGGGCCGCGGGCATTGACTTCGAGACAGGAGTGATCTCTAAGTCGTGGATGGGCATCCATCCACAGGGGAAGCGTTGGGCAAGGTAGACTGGGCCTATTGAGTGTGGGCTGGGCCTACTGGGGGCTGCACCTCTCCATATAGAACAGGAGCAGGTCTAGCTCCCGTGATAGGATCGAATCTAAGAGACTGCACTACTGGGCTAGCTCCTTTTGGAGCTGG